CTTCCGAGCTTTTCAGTTCACGCTCCATTTGCTATATACACGACCAATTGTCATTTGAAATTAGAAATTAGCATAACATCTTTTCTCTATACATGAATTTCTGCTTTCGGATCCACGTTTTATCCCTGGGATTGATGTAAGGGAAATGGAACTAACCAATTATTTTGAACGTGGGACATCAAAATGCAAATAACATTATTCTACTGTATCCTTTCACGTTGAAAATAACTCCATAGTTAAGGATGCGTGATGCATGATAAAAAATTGACAATTCGAATAAATCAGCCGTATATACTGAACCACCCCATGAGGATGAATTCAATTTCTTTTGTTTACTCCCATATGCATCCAAAGTGAACATGACGAAATACTTCTGAAGGGCTACCCATTATCACACGATTTATGGATGAATAAATGTGTAGTCAATCTGTTTTTATGAACTTTAAATTGATCCAGATCCACTTTCTCTTTCAAACGGTTTTGTGTCATGCGTTTGCTCGTGGCTCGGAAATATGAAAAGCACTGAACTTGAATAGGAAACAAACCAGGCAGGTGGAAGACAGGATAGATTATCTTTTAAAAGGGAAGGATTTGGTAGGCAAGTGGAGGTTTTTCTTGTAGTGGTAGCCTTAATGTTTATTATTTATTGAATCCCGTGCGGAGGATACACACGGACATTTTCATTGTAAAGTTGTCTGGTATTTTCAGAAAATATAAGAAGTTTCCATTAATATAAACTTATTCAGAAGTAGGTTCGCGAATTTCTAACCTGCAAATAGAAAGTATCCCACTGATAAATTTTTGTATTGTGCTGGTAGTTTTCAAACCAAATTAGGTTTCTAGGTATATTTACGATAATCCCGTAATCAAAATACGTGATGTTGATAACCTCTGGGAGATCTATGCCAACTGAATATAATGGAATCATCAGCTATCTAGTTCGTGGTTGGTAAATATACTGTGACTCACCTTAAGCGTGTTTGAGTGGTTCCGTGGCAACTTGTAGAACAGTAACCATTGCTGTACGGACTGATTTAGAAACCTGAGAAATTCAACCATTCCTCTTTAGTTTCGTTTAAATCAGGACAGACGATGGCCGCGGTCAACCGAGGTTCCATAAGTCTTTCTGTAGTAAGCCCATATAACGACCCTCATTACTGCGAGTGTCCTATACTGGAATTTCTTCACAGTTGTGTTAGCTTATTTCAGTTTTTACTCTTTTTCTATGGCTATTCAATTATGGATTGGATTTCCAGATTGACTCAGCTGGAAAGCAGTACTACTTTTCCATCAACGCGAACCTCTTATCCGGTAAAATGATTATTTTTGTTATGGCTATCAGATGGAGCATATTTAGATTTTATCCATAGCATTCGAACTAGTGTGTTTCTCAATCCGTACGGGTAAGTTATTCAAAATTAAATGTCAAGAATCATGTTCAGTCATTGAAGGACAGAAGCGTAGTTTTAATAATTTAGCATAACTGTCTTCTTTCGAGCATTGCATATTTATAGGAGATCGACCCACACTTGTCAACAAATATGGTCACACATGGGCTACGCGTATGAATGAATCTAGTACAACAAGATGGTAATATCTTTAAGTATGATATCACACTGTCTCACGGTGAGATTCGCAATGTCCACAAAACTTGTCGGTCAGTGCTCCGTCTTGAAGACCAAGTTTCAGCTACCGCGTAGAACCAGCTACATTAGGTCAGCTGTAACAAAAAATGGAGGAGGTAACCTGGCAGTTTTGGGTGTGTGGGTGTCTGAGTGAGAGCGAGAAAGGAACTGATGGATGCGGAACAAGAAAATCAAAGAAACGAGCTGTATAACGTGTCTTTACATAACCAGGTGAACAGAAGTGTGAATTTCTCGTAGAACCACACGAATGGAGTGCGTNAGTTTGTCACACACATACTCTCTCGCGCTCAAATGATTCGACTATCCTGTTCGGAACAAAGCACAAATCAGAGTGAGATTTTGTTCAGTTTGGCCAAATCAGAACACAGAACACGCTGATTTGCTTGATTCTTGAAGTGTTGTGTTTGCAGGTGGCACAGGTAATTCAGGTGGAGATGGAGTGGAAGTTCAGCTGATTTCGAGGACTGAGACGAACACACACAGAGAGAAGGTATACACACCATCAAAGAATACAGATTTAAACTATAATCTCAAAAAAACCGAAATTAACCGTGGCGAAGCAAGTTTTACCGCCAAAAGCAAAACAAACCACATCCGGAAGAAAACGAAATTTCGATGGGAGAGTATTTACCAAAATGGAAACTTATCAAACCTGTGTACCGGAAACAACGGTATCCGTAGCAAAAATATCCGATTTTGTGCAAACAACAAACACATCAAAACCGGCGCTGATTCTAGTTTCACGGTTCGTAATTGGGGGCGCTGTGAAACGTTCAGTGATCAAGAACATATAATTAGTGATTATTTTACGATAGAACGTCAATCAATGTACATCCCAAATGAGAATTTGATTCGTGCTATCGTTGTCACCCAAATTTTCGTTTGAGGTCACTTCTGGAGTAGATGTGGTGACTTCACTTGTATTGTACTCTTCTAAACCTTCTCCTCCGCTAATGACTTTCATTTGTGTAGCGATTGTTGTGCACGGATTTACTGAGGCTCGTCGAATACCCAGTAGATAATGACGATGACTGGGAGATATTGACAATCGGTTTTCCAACGGAGTAATAACATCGCTAGAAGTGGAATCACTGGTCACTGTTGGTTCGCTTTTAGTCGCCTGCTGAAGATGGGAAAGATTGGGGGGTTTGGGGCGTGGTGGAGGATGTGGACTCCGTATAGGCTGACTTGAGAGTACACTTTCAGGTTGTGCAAATCGTCTGTCGTCCGTCATATTTAACGGTCGACTTTCTGAACTCGAGTCGGTTTTTTCCGTGGTACTGCTTGTAGATAGGAAGTCATTGGTAGAATCTTTTTTCCCATATTGAAACTTCGTTGCAGTGGGCTCCGGTTTGGGACTGAGTGAAACCCGAGGACCTTCCGGTACGGTATTTGTGTCAGAGTCCGCAACGCTTTCCAAACTGACTAAGAAGCGAACATGGCCTATATGGCCTTGCTTTAGGACTGTTCAAAAAATGAAATAAAGCAATAAGACAGTATATGAGTATCCAGTAAATTATAGCAGCTAAGACGGGTAGTTGTTTGCAGAGCTCATTCAGTGATTTGTAGTTGTGAGTTACATTAGAATGAACTCTCGACAACACATGTTTTAAATCATTCCAAGAACCGTTCATCCAATAAAAGTAATCAAGATAAACTATATTCCCTTCACCTTCTGCTACTTCGCGAACCGCACAGACATGATTTATTTTTCGCTGTGTTGAGAGAGAACAATACGCTGTTGGTTTGGGCATTCGAGGTTTGATAAACATAAAAAGACCAACGTATTGACTATCACTACCACAAAATGCCAGGGAAGGTGATAATAAAGACAGAAAAGGAAGTACACGTTTGATCTGCAGATTGTCGTTTTTTGTTTATATTGAAATAATCGACGGGGGGGGGGGTTACAACTATTTAGGAATAAATAGTTTGACACATGGTTTGCTCGCGGACGGCGGAGGTATCGATCAACTCACTGTCAAGTAAAACACTAAATGACTTGAACAGTAGCTAAATGCATCACGGCGATTATCTCATTGCGAACCAGCATTGCTCTAGCGAAAGGACGCTTTGCAAAACCTGACATATTTTACGGTTGATTTCGAATGAGATCTAACATCACCGTCTTCTTATGCAACAGCCGAACACTGACAACGTCTGCATGACTATTGGTGTTGATTAAAGTAGGAGTTGCAGAGTTCTGATATCAAATAACGATTCCAACAGAACGGACTCTTTAACTTGAGTGAATAATCAAGCGATTGTAAATCAACTAACATCGAGAGAAGTGCTAATGCTAAGTGCTAATTATTTCTCAATGACAATATTTGACTTCCTTTTATTGAACAGAAAAATGAACACCTGATTTCAAGGAAACCAGGAAGCGATCAATCAAAGGACTGTTGCAAGGAACAATGAGGGTGGAGAACGTTTGCTGACTGCAGTGGTGGGATTAGAAAGCGCGAACAAGAGATTAAATGATGATGAACTATAGTAATTAACCACTGTCAAATAAAATGATAATCCAAGAGAGAACTGTCCTTGGATAAATCAGCAAAACTTTTGGTGAAACTAAAAGCAATAACAAATTTTAACTATTGCACGGTTCAAAAGCTTACTCGTCCCAAAGAACTTATTTTGAAACAAACACAGGTATTTGACGGTTTAGGGTCGATATTAGGTCACAAAAAGCGGTAATTGAGAAAACCAAAATCTAACTGTCATGCTGAAACAGTACTGATCCCCAGTGAGGGATATGACAAAAAATGGTTAACTAGAATGGAATCCTAAAACATACCTTCCAGTTGTGGAGGTTCCATAGTCTGTTTTGTGGAATTCAGAGTGACTCGGGGTATAGCCACAGTCACGATGGCGCCAGCACTTGTTCCCGCCCAGAGTAAATCCTTGCATACCGTCAAACATGTGATACGCAAACAGGCTTCCTTATGACGCATGATAATGTCATCACAGTCTGCAAAGAAAAATTATTCAGACGTGCGTAATAATAAAGTATCACCAAGATAAGGGATCTATCTGAGAGGCTGAGATTGGTTAAGCTACATAATACACGGTACTTTCGATGGAAAGTAACAAACGTCTGTAAATAAATGGGCCATACAAAACCATCTCCTGCAATAGAACATTATGTCCAAGTGGGAGAAAAGCGAAGTGGAATTACTGGTTTACCTACCGTAAAAATTCACTCAATTTCATCAGGCATATGAGGTATGCCTCTTAAGACAAATCCACCTTCTGGTCAGGACAGGTGGGTAGTGCTTCGTCGGAAGTGTCCGAATTGGTAAAAAACAAATTTCACTAAATATGAAATCATTACCATACTTTGTGTATCTTTACGAATTTTATCTCTGCATACCTCACTTGTGCTCAGGCTGCAGCGTCTACGGAAGTCGAGGCATCTTATGCTTTTCCAGTGGCCAGCATGTCCAGAAAGGAAACTGTGAAAAGGTCTTTATTCCATATAGCTTCGAACGTGAGAATACATGTGATCAAAGGTAGTCAGTAGGTTATCGTGTTCACAGTCTGCATTCACTGAATCATCAGAGTCTATTTACATTAGGTACCAGTACTCGTCTCCATTAGCCGACCCATTTCGGTTCCATTGTGACTGCATCTTACTGGATGTCCTTTGGAGGGTTAATAGACAATTCTGGAGTTTGCCCAGTTGCCGCTGCAATAAACGGTGGAGAGCAGAATCTGGACCTGCTGGAGAACAATTTTAGCAAGGTTTGTTGTTGCGCTTATGCTCAGCCGGACATCAAAGAAAAGTGCTGAAACGCAGTTCAGATTTCAGTCCATCAAATCCCCGTGAGAGACTTTCTGTTCGTTGAGGGAGATTGGAATGCCACACTTAGGAGACTAATATACAAAAGGCCTACTGGGCAAATGCAGCCTAGATGGGGGGAAAAATACAAAAGTCTGGTAACGTTAGCGGAAAGTCTCAAACAACCGCTTCCAACACCCGAAAAACATTTGAAAACTTGGTATTCCAATGAAGCTGACTGGTACGTTTTTAACAGACTTCACTGAATGGGAATTGTAGAGCTTACTTTGGTGCAAAAACATGCAATTTCAACAGCACCAATCAGGCCCTAGCACACACCCATCTCAAGATTCATCCTTCAGCGAGACATAAGTCCCGCTCGCAAGGTAGAATGAACGTGTCCAAGCTTGTAAGTACAATGTTTAAGCTCAGTAAAACCTACAAACTTCCAACTGACAGTAATCCATTTCGACTGTAGTACAGAGGCAGAATCAACCCTTGAACAACCATGCAGAATTTCGCAAAGCAAAACGCAGAGTATCTCTGATGAGGTGCCAAAGTTACAGATTAGAGGCCTACGAAATTTCCACATCAACACACTTGTCGAAGAGAGACTAAACAATATTGGCCTTAATTTGCACCGGGGAGAGAAACAACAGCCCCTGCTGGAGACTTTGGGAAGCTCTTTTAACTCATACACTCAAAGTCATGATAGACGCAACCCTCGGCTCTCTAGTTCCCTAAGAGGGATTAAAAAATAAACACGAATCGATCACTTGAGTCATTTGCTGGATTGTCCTATCCCTCATTTAAACTGGAAAATAACGCTAGAT